GGAGGACTGAGGCCAATAAGGGAGGAGTTTGCTGGAGATCCCACAGCAAGTTGGGGACATGTTCTTTGGCAATCTCTATCATCCCATTTAGTAATCAGTGTTCTCAATTTGGCCTGAGTGTGATATTTTTCTTAAAGTGTTAATGGATACACTTTTAAAAAATTGTCTCTTAAAAAATTGACTCTGTGCCCTGGTTGGTATGCTCAGTGGTTACAGCATGGCCTTTCGTACTAAAGGGTTGCAGGTTCAATTCCAAGTCAAGGGCACATACCTAAGTTGCAGGTTTGATCCCCAGCCTCAGTCTGGGCATGCATGGGAGACAACCAATTGATGTGTCTCTCTCACATCGATATTTCTCTCTCTCTCTCCCTCTCTTCTTCCCTTCCACTCTCTATAAAAATCAATGGAAAAAGATATCCTTGGGCAAGGATTAAAGAAAACACACACACAAAAAATTGACTTTGTTATATTGTATTAAATTATCAAATAAAATTAGTTACCTACCTTAATAAAAAGTTCTAAAGACCATGCCACATGGTTTGTATCATAGCCACAGTGATTATTTAACATGTTGGGTTAGAAACACTGGCCTCTTAACAGCCTCCTAATGTTTGTGAGATTTAATGTACTACACATCACATTTCTCACATTTATATGCAACTTTAGAGTTTTGTTTTCAAGGGCATCGTTCGAGCCTATTAGGGTGAGAATTACTGGGTCCTGTTTGAAGCTGCCAATAATCCTAACCCTAATCACTCCATGAGTTGGGCACTGCTCTAAGCATTTCATATAAGTGAGCTAATTTAATTCTTAAATGCAGTAAAATTTAATTCTCAAAGATGAAGCTCAGAGAGGGTAGAGTAATACAGCTAACCAGGGGTAGGGCTGGGATTTGAACCCAGATAGTCTTATTCCAGCATTAAAGCTGCTGCATTTAACCAAAGGTCAAGACTCTAGAGCTCACTGCAGGGGAGGTAACCAGCCCAAGTTACACAGGTTGTATACCCTGACCCTGGCCCCTCCCCTCATTCTTAGTCCAGTTACACCACACTGTCAGTTATGACACGAGGATTAGTGAGCCTGTCCAGCTTGGAGAGCACAGGAGGTCCCAGCGGGATCACACATCTGGGCAAGCGCATTTCTGTCAGCAGTGCCAAGTCAGGGAGCAGTACGGGGACAGCCCCTGGAGCCTATTAGGGTGAGAATTACTGGGTCCTGTTTGAAGCTGCCAATAATCCTAACCCTAATCACTCCATGAGTTGGGCACTGCTCTAAGCATTTCATATAAGTGAGCTAATTTAATTCTCAAATGCAGTAATTTAATTCTCAAAGATGAAGCTCAGAGAGGGTAGGGTAACACAGCTAACCAGAGGTAGGGCTGGGATTTGAACCCAGATAGTCTGACTCCAGCATGAAAGCTGCTGCATTTAACCGAAGGTCAAGACTCTAGAGCTCACTGCAGGGGAGGCGACCAGCCCAAGTCACACAGGTTGTACACCCTGACCCTGGCCCCTCCCCTCATTCTTAGTCCAGTTACACCACACTGTCAGTTATGACATGAGGATTAGTGAGCCTGTCCAGCTTGGAGAGCACAGGAGGTCCCAGCGGGATCACACATCTGGGCAAGCGCATTTCTGTCAGCAGTGCCAAGTCAGGGAGCAGTACGGGGACAGCCCCTGGGGGTTCAGACCTGCTCCTTGTGGTGCAGTTGTCCGCGTACAACTCCATGTTGCCCTTGCCCACACTTTGCCCTCTTTCTCACAATTTAGAGGGTGTTTCTTCAATTTCCCTTTGGAGATTCTTGCTGTGAAGCCAAGGAGGCTCACAGTCCATGGCCACATAACTGTAGTTGCTCCATCCAGCACTTACTCATCTTCAGCGTGCTTCCGCCACTCGGGGCTGAGAGTGCTAGCCCATCTGCCATGTCATGATTCCTCTGTGAATCATCTCGAACCTTCTTTTGCAAGGCAAGGGTCAGTGGAACTGACGGTTCATCATAATGTGAGCTGGTTATTTCAGCATCCTGAAAAGAAATCGCCTGATGGGTGTGCCTATGGGGCAGTTATTAACTCGGGAGTGATTGCAAAGCCCCACTGGGTTCTAATTGCCAGCTGTTATAAAAGGAAGCAAATGACCGGGTTGTAGAATGTTGAGGGACTTTAGAAGCCATGTATTCAACTCCTGCTCATGCAGGAATTCCTCCTGGTCCCCAGGACCTGGCTGCTCCTGGCTTGTCCACTGCCAGTAGGGGCTGCTCCTCCCTTCCCAGGCCATTCTGTTCTGTTCTGTCTTTGGATGGCTTTGTACAAAGCTCAACCGT